CACTGGGTGTTATGCACAAACAATGAATCATGGAACACTACATCAAAAACTAATGATGTAATGTATGGTGATTAACATAACAATAAAAATTAAAAACGAACAAACTAAAAATCACCTTCCTGATGAACCCTCATGAAAATAGACACCCCTCATTCATATCTGATAGAGGACAAATCTATCCTATTCAAATCTATCCTATTTCTTTATTCAAGAAAATACATGACATAAATTTTAAATGATCTTGATTATTGATTTTATTTTCTTGCTAATGGTCTGTCTTCCCACAGATTTACGAGATCTGTGAGGGCAGGGATGGGTCAATCTTGTCACTGTTGAGCCCCCAGCATTTAGAACAGGGTCTGACACAGCCGGGACAAAGTTAGGGATGTCTGAGCAAACCCAGCACCATGCTGGCTTCATGGAGAAGCTCAGAAAACAACCAAACCCACCTTTCTTTGTCCCTAACTACTGTGGGATTTTCCACTTGAGTCTAGATGTCCTGGTGTAGAAAATGAGTTCATTAGTCCCTCCCTGGTAGGGAAGTCTCCAGGGTTAAATGAGATCCCAGAAGACCCTGATGAGCCCTGAAGTTCCTGAGACACAAGTGAGCTGCTGCCTGGGGTTCTTAATTCTGAGAAACAAAGGTAACTCCATCCACGATTCATCCAGCCTCTGCCTGGAGGAGTTATTTTTTGACCCCAGTGCAGTCAGACATCAAAGGGATTTCCCAGAAAGGTCCTGGACCCCTAGGGCTGTACAGTGATGCCTCACCAAACAACAAGTGGCCCCAGGGCCTCCTAGGTTTGGGGTGCAAATCCTGTTATGGGTGCCTTCCCCTCTGAGCCTCCATTCTATTTATCAAGCACTTAGGATGTGCCACATAGTTCTAATTATTTTGTCCCAGCAAACATCTTATGAAGTGAGACTCCTATAAGCCCATTTTACAGAGGAGGAACTTCAGTCCCAGCAGGGTTTGAAGGAATCCTCAGGGTTTCCTGAGGTTGCACAGTGCGTCTGTGCAAAGGTGGGGGGTGCACTCGTAGGCAGGCTGGTTTAGGCACTGGCTCTTAACCATTAGGCTGCACTGCCTCTATCCAGTGAACGCTGTGAAGCCTGCCCGACCTCAGGCATCCCCAGGGGACCACACTAGGTCTTCTGAGTCCGGAGTCAGCTCCTAAGTCTGCAGTCTTTGCAGAGCTACCAGGCTGCATTCCCAGCGCTGGGCCTCAGGTTACCCCTTAGTAGGATGGGGTGAGCGGAGCTTTCTGATTGCCGAGGGTCTTCCTAAAGTTAGTAAAGCAATGGTGGGAAGGTTCTTTATAAACAGGAAAGCACCCGGAAACCGTCACAGTTTGCTCTCTTTCTCCTCTGCATCCTGAAAGGGGAGAATGTTCTCCCCATTTCACATACGGCGAAACTGAGGCTCAGAAAAGTAAAGTGCTCTTTCCAAGGCGATAGGGAGACCCAGTAGGGGGTGTGTGCGCGGGGCAGGTGGGGGGAGGAGGTGGAGCCCAGGCACCCTTGGAGGTCGGGTGAGGCGAGGGGGGCGGGGCGGGGCGCGCCGGGGCGGTGACCCCAGGGGCGGAGCCCGGAGGATGGTGCAATCCCGGGCCCGAGCGCAGGCCGCGGCCGATTAGCGCAGGTTTGCATCACCCGGGCCCGGGCTGGCGCCGGGAGACACTCGCAGCGGAAGCGCCAGCGGCTCCACACGTGTCCGGCTGCGGGGGGTCGGGGTCCCGAGCTCGGTCACGTCGCAGTGGGCCCCCGGCCACGTAGGAGTGCCCCGGCGACTCAGGACCCCTGCCGCACACCCGGGCAAGGTACCCAGCGGGGCCGGAGAGGGGCCGGGGCCGCGAGCGGGCGCGGGGCGGGGGGGGAGGGTGGACCCCCGCGAAGGTGGCGGCGGTATCCGGGGGGCGGAGGGAGGAGGGGACAGAGGTGTGGGAGTGTCGCCCCGAGAGGTGAGTGTGGGGCGGGGGAGGCGTGTGTGTGAGGGGCCTGTTGGGGGGGGGGCGCCGGGGACTCTGTGTAGGGTCTATGTCGCTGTAGGGTGAGCCTGAGGGTCCGCGTGAGCCTGCGGGGTTGGGGGGGAATGTGTCTCGGCGGACGCTGCGAGCTGTGGGGAGGGCTGCGTACCTGGTGGCAGGTGTCGACCGAGCGGGGGACACGGCTGGGGCCGGGGCTGGGGTGCCCCGGGGGGCGGGGGCGGGCGCAGGGCGAGTGGAAGCGAGGATGCGGCGCGCGGGGTGCGGGACCCCGGAGCGCACGGAGCGTCGCCGCAGGTGTGCACCTGGCGCTGCGGCTGCGGGTCGCAGGTTGTACCGTGCGCGTGTGTGTTTTGTCCCTGCGGGCCCTGGGGTGTCTCGCAGCCCTGGGGCCCAGCCTCCTTCCCTTGCCTCTCCCCCTCCCGCCGCTCCGTTTCCGCTGAATCCTCTGCCTCGGGACACCCGCTGGCCGCCGCTTCCGCTCCCACGGGAGGAGCCGGGCTGGGGAAGGCTGGGCGAGGCGGCCGAGGGGGATGGGGCTCGAGTCAGACGTGCCGGTGACCTTCCTGCTATCAGTCGTGCAGTGGGGAGCGTGATGGGTGGAGGGCTCTGTGTGTGTATGCCTGCACACTGGCCCACGGAGGATGAGGTGTGTGTCACTTAATGATGTGTGTGCCCCTCTCTGCCCTCGATGTGGTGTCTCAGCTGGCTGGCTTGGACAAACTGTGGTTTTGAGGGGTGTGTGTGCACCTGTCTGCTCTGGGTTCTGTGCGTGTGTGTTTGGTACGACCGGCCCTTCTTCCCCGACGCGTCAGGGAACAGCAAGAAATAGATATGAGGGGCTGCCTCCATCCTACAGTGGAGATTCTAGTCCCGCAGTGTGGCCCGTGAAGTCCCCTGCTCAGTTAGGGTAACTCCACCTGTCCCATGGAGCTTATCCCAGGCCTACCAGCTTCTGAGGAATGGATACAGCCAAAGCAGAGCCTGGAGTGCTGCTGTGGCCATGGAAGAGCCACCCCAGGGATAGTCCCAAGAACACTGAAGCGCCTTCGGCTATGAATAACAGTAGTAGCAATGGACCGTGACCATTTGCTGACAGCCACCCTGCAACAGGTCACTCTAAATTATTTGTGTTTTCATTTCATCATTGTAAAAATCCTATGGGCTTTCCATCCTGCTCCCACTTTACAGGTGAGGGAACTGAGGCTGGGGAAGACTGCAGGATTTGCCCAGGGCTACCCAGCCAGGAAGAGTGGTGAGCCAGGATTAGAACCCAGGAATGTCTGACTACAGCCACCTTGGGATTATGGCCTTTCGCTCAATGTGGGGTCTCCCTCCCAAGGCAGTCCATGTATTGGAGTCCGCTGTGTGGCTGTGCCAGGATGTTTAACCAGCCCCCTGCTGATGGCCATTTGGGGGTGTTTCCCGCCTTTTGCTATTAGATACAAGGCTCTACTGAAAACAGCCTTTCCTGTGTTTAATATATTGGTGAGCATTTTAATGGGAGGATAAATTTCCAGAAGTGGGACACCTGGTCAAGGGTAAGTGCATTTGTCAGTTTAATGCACACTGCCAAGTCACCCTCCATAACAGCTAGGGGAGGGGGGGCTGCCAAGCAGCCTCCCTTCAGTGCTTTCTCCCCTTCTTTGTAGATGCGAGCCACCCTTCTGGCTGCTCCTATGGGTGCCCCATCCAGGAGGAAGCGGTTGGAGTTGGACGGTGACCTAGACACCGAATGTCCCACCCGGAAACAAGCTCGAAGGGGGCCCCAGCCTCAGCTGCCCCCCTGCCCGCTGCCCCTGACCCCACCCCCTGCTCCAGCCCGGGCCCTCGCTGTGACCACTCCCGCCCGGCTTGGGCCCTATGTCCTCCTGGAGCCTGAGGAAGGTGGCCGAGCCTACCGTGCCCTGCACTGCCCCACAGGCACGGAGTACACCTGCAAGGTGGGTCCCCTGGGTCACTCTCCCCCAGCATCACAGGGGCCTGGCAAGGGCCTTGGCTCCAGAGGACTGTCAGGGTGGAGGGGTCCTTAGGGTTACTTTGTTCCTGTGTTTATTGGGGAAGCAGTCAGTGAGCCCCCAGCTCTCTGTCAGGTCCTGGCCTGGGCTGAGGCCAGAGAGGTAAACCCGACATGCCCAGCCCTGGGGGATGCTCAGCTTAGGCCCATAGTATGATACAGGCCATAGGGGTGGAGCTTAGGGGCCGTGGGAGCACAGAGCAGGAGCCTCCAGTGTATTCAAGGGGGGTGTCAGAAAAGGCTGAGCAGGAGTTAGCCAGGGAGAAGTGGGAGAATGGAGATCCGGGCAGGGGAGGCCACCGTGCAGAGGCCTGAGGAGCAAGAGCGTGTGAGGCATCAGAGGGTTCGAAGGACTTCACCACGGCCAGACTGGAGAGGGGCAGGAGGGGAGGGCCGGCGGCCACCGGTTGTGAAAGCATGAGAAAGGAGCTGGCCCTGGGCTGCGGGAGCCACTGAAGATACTTGCACAAGGGAAGGGTGAGCTGGGGTAGACATCAGAACCCCTGGGACCCTGGAGGTCATTGGGCCTAGCCTGTGACCGTTTCACAGATGGAAAGACCGAGGCCAAGAAGGAAGGGCCAAGCACGAAACCTCACTGTATCGGGCCTGGCTCCTAGGGCAAAGTCCAGGGTTCTTGGCAGAAATCAGGAAATGGGCAAGGTGAGGCCCAGGTGACATTGGCGGGTCACATCCTAAAAAGGCAGAGGTGAAGAACTATAATAATAGGTATTTACTGTGCACTAGGTACTATGTTGATGCCTTAGTGTGTGTAATCTCTTCCAATCTTCACCCGGCCTGTGACGTATTTACTATTATTGGCCCATTTTGCAGATAGAGGACACTGAGGCTCATAAAACTGTGGTCACAGAGCCAGGGGGTGTCAGAGGTGAGACTGAGCCCAGGGCTGTGGCCCCATGCTAGGACACGTGTTTCAGACATAGCAGGTCAGTTTGCTTCTGGTGGGCAGGGTAAGAAAGATACAGGAGACCCAGCTGCACAGGGGACGGGAAGAAGGGGGCCTGGGTCCCCTTGGGAATGCACAGAGAAGCAGGTGGACCTAAGCCTCCACCCGGGAGCATTGGCAACTGGCTTCTACTGGGTGGGGGGTGCAGTGGGCAGGGGGCTAGAGGCAGACCTGTGGTACAGCCGCCAGCTTTGCCTGGGCTCTGGGCTGCCCACTGCAGGTCCCCAGTGCTCTGACCCAAGTGCTCTAAGGAATCCCTGAACTCTGGCTCCTTTTCCTGCAACATTACAGGTTTTCTTCTGTTCCTACTGGGGAGGGGAGTCCCTGCTGAGTGGCATGACCAAAGCAGGCTCAAACCAGAAGCGCCATGCTTTCTCATAGCCCCAGGTATTCAGAAACATTTAGCGGGGGGGGGGTCTCCTGGCACGTGCTCATCCTCATGCTAGCATGAGCCGTGGGGCTGACCTGCCATTTCCACATCGCCTTTTCTGGTCAGTGTGTAGAAGGATCGGCATTCTGTCTATAGATTATCACCTATTCATTCATTCAATAAACCTTCACTGAGCACCCTACGTGCCATGCACCATGCTGTGGTTCCAAGATAGAGTTCTGTTCTCATCAAGCTGATGCTCTAGTGGAGGACATGGGCAGTAAACAAGGGAATAAGTAAAATATGGCACAAGGGAAGGGTGATCCTGTGTCAGGTGATCATAAGTGCTTTGGAGAGAAAGCTAGGAGCTGGGAGAGAGGGGGACAGGGACCGTGGGGGAGCAGGTGATTTTAGTCCAGGAAGAACTCTCCAAGGAGGTGACATTTGAGCAGTGACTTGTGTGAGCTGGGGGAGCCAGCCTGGTGGGTATCTAGGGAAGAGCATCCAGGAAGCACGGCAGGCAAGTGCAAATGTACTAAGGCAGGCATGTGCTTGCCCTGACTTAAAAAAAAAAAAAAAGTAGTCTCTGTTTTTTGGATTCTTTCTTCCATGCCAGCCAAGTGTTTGTTTGTTGTTTTAAGACATGCTTACATTTTTTTTTCATGAATTAAATATGTATATGCTTTATTGGTTTATTTTCTGTGTGGCAGAGCCAACATAACATGGGAAGGGTTTAAAGGCAGACAAACTAACTGAGTCTCCCCGCTCTGCCTCTGATGGGCTGTGTGGCCTCCAACAAGTGCCCCTCCTTCTCTGAACATCAGTCTCACCAGCAGTAAAAACAGAACACCTTTCAGGGCTGTGGCGAGGCTCCCACCTAAAGTCCATAAAGCCCCTAGCACGTTTTCTGACAACCTCGCCACTCTTAACCACTGCCCCTCTTCCCTCTCTTAACCCACTCCAGCTGAACTGATCTGGGGCTGGTTTTCTAGAGCAGCTCATGCTCTTTCTTGCCTCAGGGCCTTTGCACTGTCCATGTCCTCCCCCTGGAAAGCTTATCCCGTGGGCATCTCGGAATCATTCAGGTCACTTCCCCAGAACCCCTTTCATTTATTTTTTTAAAATTTTATTTATTTATTTTGACAGAGAGAGAGAGAGAGAGAGAGAGACAGTGAGAGAGTGAACACAAGCAGTGGGAGAGGGAGAAGCAGGCTTCCTGCTGAGCAGGGAGCCCCATGCGGGGCTCGATCCCAGGACCCTGGGACCATGACCTGAGCCGAAGGCAGACGCTTAACGACTGAGCCACCCAGGTGGCCCCCCAGAACCCCTTTTAGACCACACCTTTTCACCTAAGTGCCCCCTTCCAAAATATTCTCTATTCCAGCATCTTTCTTGGTTCCTTTGCAATGCTTATCAGAATTGGGAAATATTTAGTTTTTGGCTGGTTTGGACTGTGGGCATCAGGAGGGCAGGGACCATGGCTGTCAGGCAGGTTGGATCCCTATGGCTGGCAGCCGCCGCCGGCCATGCAGTGCCTGCACCTGGAGTGGGTGGCAAGGGGGGGGGGGGGGGGGGGGGCTGGAGTTGGCAGGCAGTGAATCCCAGGGAATGGGAGCTATGAGCCTGGCGATGCTCTGCATAAAGTGACCTGCGAGCTCTCTGCTCTTCTGGATTTACCCGGCCCTGGGCCCTGGGGCTTATTTTCATTTGGATTACCTACTATTTCCCAGTTATCTGAAGTTTAAGGCCATATAAGGTAGTTGAGAGCGCAGACAACGGAGCGTGGATTCAGATCTCAGCCCTGCCACTCGCTGGCTGTGTGGCCTCTCAGCTTTGTGAGGGGGGAGCGGCTTGCTGCTGGAGCGCCCGGCCCAGTGCCTAGCGCACAGCAGTGCCCAAAGGCTTGGCTGGGACTGTTCCCAAGGCCCCCCCCCCCCCCCCCCCCCCCCCCCCCCCCCCCCCCCCCCCCCCCCCCCCGCTCCACCCGGCGGCGCCCGCGCTCAGGCCAAGCCCCACCCACAGGTGTACCCGGCCCGCGAGGCCCTGGCGGCGCTGGAGCCCTACTCGCGGCTGCCCCCGGAAGGACACGTGGCACGGCCCGCCGACGTCGTGGCAGGCCCCCGCCACCTGTACGCCTTTTTCCCGCGGCCCCACGGGGACATGCACAGCCTGGTGCGCCGCCGCCGCCGCCTCCCCGAGCCCGAAGCCGCCGCACTCTTCCGCCAGATGGCCGCCGCCCTGGCGCACTGTCACCAGCACGGGCTGGTCCTGCGCGATCTCAAGCTGCGGCGCTTTGTCTTCACCGACCGCGAGAGGTGAGTGTGGTCACAGAGACCCTCCTCGCAGACATACCTAAGAGATGGGCCCTGATGGGGAAACTGAGGCCCACGAAGGCAAAGTAACTTACACAAAGAAATGGAGAAGCCGGGACTGGCTTCTCTGCCTGGTTCCCGGGAAAAGGTTGACTCGGGGCTAATGAAAGCCCCTGGGCTGGAGCGTTGCCTCTGTGACAGTCATAAGAGCTGACAGTGACGAAGAGCTTGGTTGCGCTCTCTGACTCGGCCCGGATGCTTACAAAGATGAGGTAGGCACTCTTCTTGTTCCCATAGGCCAGGTGAGGAACCCCGCCCAGAAAAGTCAAGTGACCCCCAAGATACCACAGCTAAATAAATAGTAGAGCTGGGAATCGAACCCAGATGTGACTCCAGAGAGGTCCTAATCCACCCTGAGCTTGAGAGGCGGGAGGCCTGGCTGGGCTTACCTGCTGACTCTGGGTGACTCAGGGTCTCTGGACCTCAGTTTCCCCACTGGAAGGAGAAAAGTGGACAGTTAAGATGTTTCCAGGATATCAGGGCCACAGACAACAAGCCGCAACAGGCCCTGAGGTTCCTCAATGGGAATGTTTTCTGTGAAACAGAATCGGTGATGTTGGAGGGAAGGAGCGGAGAGGGGAGCGGGGCATTCTCTCCCCTACCCCAGACTGGGGAGGCGGGCGGTGAGCAGGAGTGGGGTGTGTCCGGCAGCAGGCAAGCCAGTCAGGTCCACATGAACAGCCATCAGGAACATGGATTACACTGCAAGATTTTTTGTGGGATTGGCGGGGGGGAAGGAGGGCGACCCCACGGCACATTTTAATTTATTTTATTTTTTTAAGTGATCTCTGCACCCAACATGAGGCTCAAATTCATGACCCCAAGATCAAGAGTCGCATGCTCTTTCAACTGAGCCAGCCAGGCACCACCCACCCATTCACATTTCAAACTTTTTTTTAAAGATTTTATTTATTTATTCATTTATTTATTTATTTATGAGAGAGAGAAAGAGAGAGAGAGCGCACAAGCAGGGGGAGCAGCAGCAGAGGGAGAAGCAGACTCCCCACTGAGCAAGGAGCCTGATGCGGGGCTTGATCCCGGGACCTTGGGATCATGGCCTGAGTGGAAGGCCGACACTTAACCGACTGAGCCACCCAGGCGTCCCCATTTTAAACTTTTTGAAATACTTTTAGACTTTCCTAAAAGTTGTGAAAATAGTGCAAAGAGTTTTCATATCTCCTTCACCCACTTCCCTTAATGTTAACTTCTCACATAGCCACAGAACAACTATCAAAACTAAGACACAACTATCAAAACTAAGCCTGGGTGCCTCAGTTGGCTAGGTGACCAACTCTTGGTTTCCTCAAACAAGTGACCAACACTTGTTTTCTCATGCTTAGACCGAGATTATGCATTTTTGGCAACAGTACCGTACAACAGGAAGGGTGCCTGGGTGGCTGAGTCAGTTGGGCATCTGACACTTGGTTTCGGCTTGGGTCATGATCTCAGGGTCTTGAGATGGAGCCATGCGTGGAGCCCCAACTGGGGCTCTGTGCTCATTGCCAAGTCTGCTTGAGATTCCCTCTCCCTCTCCCTTCCCCCCAACTCATGAGTGCTCTCTCTCAAATCAATAAATAAATAAACAAATAAAATCTTAAAAAAAAAAAAAAGAGTACTACAAGAGGGATAGGTCCTTCTCAGCACACTGTGCCAGAAGATGCATGACGGTGATATGTGTTACTGTGATCGTTAACCTCAGTCATTTGGTTAAGGTGATGTCTGCCAAGTTTCTCCACTGTAAGGTTCCTAATTTACCCCTTGTAATTAATAAATACCTTGCAGGGGGGGACCTGGGTGGCTTAGTTAGTTAAGCCTCCAACTCTTGATTTCTGCTCAGGTCATGATCTCAGGGTTGTGAGACTGTACCCGTACCTTGGGCTCTGTGCTCAGTGGGGTGTCTTCTTCTCTCTCTCTCCCTCTCCCTCTGCCCCTCTCCCTGCTCGTGCTCTCTCTTTCTAAAAGAAAAATAAAATAAAATCGTGGGGTGCCTGGGTGGCTCAGTCCTTAAGCGTCTGCCTTTGGCTCAGGTCATGATCCCAGGGTCTTGGGATCAAGCCCCACATCAGGGAGCCTGCTTCTCCCTCTCCCTCTCCCCCTGCTTGTGTTCCCTCTCTCGCTGTGTCTCTCTGTCAAATAAAATAAAATAAAATAAAATAAAATCTTTAAAAATACATATATACATACATACATACATACCTTGGGTAGGTGCTTCGAGGCCATGCATGTAAATACTGTTTCTCCTCAAATTTGCCCAGAGATTTTCACAGGGCATCCACCTCGCCTGTAGAAGTTACTGTTGTGATGCTTGCCTAACGGTGATTTTCTCTTTCCTTCTCTCCTTCTACATTTTATACTAAAATGAAGATGCCTTTAGTAAGAAGTAGAATATAAATTTTATAATGATTTTTTAAGTTAATACAGAGCTTCAAATAATTGTGAACTTAGGATGAGTTACATCACCCACAGACCTCCCAGGGTGAGAAAGTACTTCATGTCTTTTTAAGGCAATAGTTTGAGAAGCACTGTTGGTAAAAGAGGGCTGGTGGAGACAGACCTCGCTTCGAATCTTGGTTCTACTTTTGACCTGCTCTTTGGCCTTGACAGTGGCTTTACCTGCCTGGGCCTTGATTTTTTTCAAATGCCAGCAGGCGCCCTGGAACTGGTGTCACAGAATAATTTTAATAGCAGTGGTAATAAAAAAAAATGGCATTGGTAACAGAAAGGTTATTATTAAAGTAACCTGGGGTGCTCTGTGGGAATTGTTTAAAGCGGAAGTTACAAATGGTGGACCTCACACACGTTTTCTTTTTGGTCCCACGTACATGTTCATTCATTTTTTTTGTTCTTAAGATTTTATTTATTTATTTGACAGAGAGAGACACCGCGAGAGAGGGAACACAAGCAGGGGGAGTGGGAGAGGGAGAAGCAGGCTTCCCGCTGAGCAGGGGGCCCGATGCGGGGCTCGATCCTAGGAACCTGGGATCATGACCTGAGCCAAAGGCAGATGCTTAACGACTGAGCCACCCAGGCGCCCCTGTTTTTTTTTTTAAGATTTTTATTTATTTGAGAGAGAGAGAGCATGAGCAGGGGGAGGAGCAAAGGGAGAGGGAGAAGCAGACTCCCCGCGGAGCAGGGTGCTTGATGCAGGGCTCGATCCCAGGACCCTGGGATCATGACCTGAGCTGATGGCAGACGCTTAACCGACTGAACCACCCAGGCGCCCCATGTTCATTTGTTTTTAATTGAAATTGGCTGCCAACCTTTCAAAAACTGGGATTTTTCATTAACATATGGTTTCTGACTTCTCTTGGGGAAAAATGGGAATGTGGGGCCATTGGGAACGGTTGAGGGGTTCATAGCAGTGGCTCTGGGTGGGTGAGAGCTGGGGTTCACATCCCAGCCCTGTACCCTGTGGCTGTAAAATGACAGCGTCCTCACAGGTTGTGTGAGGACGAGATGAGATACAGCAGATATTGAGCTTAGCTCTGGGTCAGGTACCCCATGGACACTCCAGAACATTGACTGTAATGTTGTCAGCAGTGCCCTTTTTTAGACAGTGTTTGTGCTGAGGTGTTTGGCATGGTCCCCACTTCCTATTTCTCTCATTTTATTACCTGCCTGGACCCTAAGTTTGCCCCTGGTTTAAGAGAGGCTTAGTGGCCTCTCAGCTCGGCCCCCTCAGCCCCCTCAGCCCCTCCTCGAGGGGCTGCTGGGAAATGTGCCCCTCTCAGAGTCCTAGTTCAAACCCAGTTGTTCTGTGGCCTTGAGAAATGACTTAACGTCTCTGAGCCTGGGCCTCCTCGTGCGTAAAATGCGATCAACCAACCAGTGTCACAGGACTGGCTCAATTCTGCCAGATACCAGCAGGCGCTCACGACATGGGTGCCATTAAGGGTGAGAGTAGAGGGTGGTGGCATGGGGGTCCCCATAGGAGCTGACCCCTCTGTCTGTCCCCCTGCCACAGGACAAAGCTGGTGCTGGAGAACCTGGAGGACGCCTGTGTGCTGAGCGGGCCAGACGACTCCCTGTGGGACAAACACGCGTGCCCGGCCTATGTGGGACCGGAGATCCTCAGCTCCAGGGCATCCTACTCGGGCAAGGCAGCCGACGTGTGGAGCCTGGGCGTGGCGCTCTTCACCATGCTGGCTGGCCACTACCCCTTCCAAGACTCAGAGCCTGCCCTGCTCTTTGGCAAGATCCGCCGCGGTGCCTTTGCCCTGCCTGAGGGCCTCTCGGCTCCTGCCCGCTGCCTGGTCCGCTGCCTCCTTCGACGGGAGCCAGCTGAGCGGCTCACAGCCACGGGCACCCTGCTGCACCCCTGGCTGCGGGACAACCCGCTCCCCTCAGCTCCATCCCGATGCCACCTCTGGGCGGCTGACCAGGTGGTCCCCGAAGGGCCGGGGTTGGAGGAAGCTGAGGAAGAGGAGGGGGAAGCAGAAGCGAGTCTATATGGCTAGGTAGCCCTAGACTCTCAGCTGCAAACAGTGGACTGAGTTTGGGGTATCTCCAGGCTCTCTCCGGCCTTTTTTGCACTGAGCCAAACCTTAGTGCCTTCTAGAAGCGAGAAAGGAAGAGGCATGTATGGAGTGGGCTGTATGCACACCTGTGTGGTTCCTCATACCTGGGCACACAGGCCTGTGCATTTAACACATCCTTCTTGGGAGTCCACTGTGTGCCAAGCCCTGTTCTAGGTGCCGGGAACACAGCAGTGAACAGAAGACAAATCTCCTGCTCTCAGAGCTCACCACTTTTCCATGCCCGCAGGTGTGTCCACACGGGGCCCTCCCAGTATAGGTGTCAGCATCCACTCGTGCTGGTGCCCCGGCGCTTCTGACCCTGGACAGTCCCTCTCACAAATCCCTGTGCCAAAGCCTCCAGGCCTCCCCCTCACAACTCAGGACTCCAGAGCCCAGGCTGTGCTGGGAACTCCCAGCAGCTCTGTCTTCTCCACCCAGGCCCGAGCCAAGGATTCGGGCTGGAGCCTCACCAGTTCAAACCATGAGGCTGGTCCTCATCTAACTCAAGGATGGTTTGGAATGAGGGTCCACAGCTGTCCTCCGCTGGCCTGAGCACCAGAGATGAGGTTGGAGGAGGCAGGCTCTTCCTCCTGGCCTTCTGGAAAGTCTCAAGCCCTATTCTGGGTTTTGGATCAACACTATGGGTTTTGGATGCCATAAGAATGTATTTTTACCTTTTGCCTAATAAAGGAGTTAGGAGATATTTTAATGTCTCCTGGACATGTGTTCTACCCTCTCCTCCCCATCCCAGCAGTTCTCCTTGCCCGATGGCGAGGCCAGAGGCTTGTGGTCTGTGAGAACAGATTCCCTGCAGCCCAGCGGCTCTTGCGCATGCCGTCTGTTCCTTCGGGAGGCACTGGTGTCTCTGTTAGGGTACTTTTTGGCTGCAAGTAACTGAGACCCTGGGCCAAAGTGGCTTTCAAAAGAAAGAAATTTCACACAAAGCCACGAAGTCAAGAGGTGGGACGGGCTTCTGGGCTGGTTGGTTCAGCTCTCAGAGCCGTCAGCAAGAACTGGCTCCCCGGGCTCATTCTCTCTCTGCTCTGTTGTCCCTGGTGACGACTGACCCAATGGCCACAGCGGTCCCAGGTGTCAACAGAAGAGAGATCCGTGACCAGAGGAAGCAGGAGGGTGGTACTGTAGCACCAGAGGACTCAGTCCTCTGGAGTCAGGCTGCCTGGAACGAAGTCTTGGCTCCCACACTCACTAGCTGACCCTCAAGTGTCTTACCTACTCAGCTTACTCATCTGTACAATGAGCGAAACAGTGCCCACCTCACGAGAGTTGAATGAGTTATTTCCTGTAAAGCACCTAAACCCTCAATAAGACTCAGCTGTTACTTTTACCCCCAGAGCTCTTTCTTGGGACGGGGAAAGCTTTGCCAGAAGCCCTCCTGGCAGACTTCCCCACAGATTTCACTGGCCAGGGCTGGGTCACATGTCCTTTCCTGACCAATCACCAGCAGGGAAATGAGGGTACACAAATGAACCAAGCCAACCCTCTGGCGGCGGGGGGTGCAGCCTCCCTGAGGTTCATGCTCCATGTGGGAGGGGTTGTCACCTGAGCAAAGTCAAATTCTGGGAGGAGGTAGTGGGAGAAATCACGAGAACCGAGGTGTCCTGGTTGAAGTTATGGCTGGCTGCAGACAGGTGAGGGCGACCGTTCTAGATCATCCAGCCACCAGTCTGCGAATGCACCGATCAGTCAGGCTGGCCAAGACCAGAAGGCTTGCCTCAGAATCATGAGCTAAATAAAGGGATCTTTGTTTTAAGCCACTGAGTTTTGGGGTGTTTTGTTATACAGCAAAAGCTAACTGATAGGGACAAGTCAGCCTCCTCTCTCTGTACCCAGGATTGCTGGGGACAGGGCCCCAAGCTTTCTTCTTCCCCGCCCTGGCTTCCAACAGACAGTTGGAACAATTTGTGTGGACAAATTAACAGCCCCAGTTCCTTCACAAGCTGCGTGTCCTCGCCAGTACCAGAGGAGTGAGGGGGAGGGACACAAACTCATCTAAAATGGGGGTGCCAAGTGTCGGGTACTGTGCTAACCTTTCATCTACATTACACAGCGGGACTCGTTTAATTCTCACGGCAACCCTAGGAGGTAAATACGCTTGTCATTTTATAGGTAAAAAAAAGTGGTTTAGAGAGAAGACTCGGCCAACACTGCACAACAGAGAAACTCACCTGGTTTCCTGGTTTTGCCTTGAAGCAAGAACTTTTTTTTTTTTTTTAAGATTTTATGTATTTATTTGAGAGAGAGAGAGAGAGCATGAGTGGAGGGGCAGAGGGAGAGGGAGAAGCAGGCTCCCCATTGAACAGGGAGCCCGATGCGGGGCTCGATCCCAGGACCCTGAGATCATGACCTGAGTCGAAGGCAGCAGCTTAATGACTGAGCCACCCAGGGACCCCCCCCCCCGAAGCAGGAACTTTTGACAAGGCGTCTCAGAGGCAGCCACATGAAAACTGGCACAGAAAAATGCAGAACCGACTCTCACCAAGTAATGCGTGTGGCCAAACCCCTGACGCAATTAGTGGGGACTTTCATGTTCTACTTATATTCATATAATGATCATTGTAAAACTTTTAGAGTATCAAATGTAATACATATATATTACTACAAGTGCGGGACTATAGGAAATTTAATTGGGGTTTCTCTCTATAACTGGGAGCTAAACACAAAAGATAATATTGTGGTCTGCCCAATTATTTATTTGCTTTAGCAATTCAACCACTATTTTGAATGACGGCTACAGCCAGGCATGGTGCCAGATGGACACAAACGTGGTCCCTCCGCTCAGGGACTCAGTCTAATAGAGAAGCCAGATGTTAAACAGGTAACCACACAAATTAAGAAGCTAATTACCAGGGGCGCCTGGGTGGCTCAGTTGGTTAAGTGACTGCCTTCGGCTCCGGTCATGATCCTGGAGTCCCGGGACCGAGTCCCGCATCGGGCTCCCTGCTCAGCAGGGAGTCTGCTTCTCTCTCTGACCTTTCCCCCTCTCACGTGCTCTCTCTCTCTCTCATTCTCGTTCTCTCAAATAATAAATAAAATCTTAAAAAAAAAAAAAAATAAAAGAAGCTAATTACCAGCGCGCCTGAGTGGCTCAGTTGGTTAAGGGGCTGCTTTCTGCTCATGTCATGATCTCAGGGTCCTGGGATCCAGCCCCACGTTGTCAGGCTCCCTGCTCGGCAGGGGGCCTGCTTCTCCCTCTCTCTCTGTCCCCCCACCCATGCTCTCTTTCTCTCAAATAAATCAAATCTTAAAGAAAGAAAGAAACTAATTACCTCTGTGTTAAGTAAGTTCTTTGTGGCTACGGTGGGCTCCCCTACCTGCCTGCCCCCCCCTTACACTCACGTGATTAATTCTGACCAATGGTGTGTGTGTAGAAGTGCCCTCTGTGGGCGATCCCTTCTGGGCTGAGGCCCCTGAGAGCTGGTGGACCTCCACCCTCTCATTCCTAACACAGCCACGGTGAGGCCACGGTTCCCTTAGCTACGAGATGGAGGAGGACCACCAGATCCACACTGGCTTTTAGTGAGCAAGACATGAAGTTTCCTGGGTGAGGTCTTTGTGATTCGGAGTTTGTCTGTTGGGCAGTTAGGGTTAATGACCATGATTAAGTATAATTTGCCCCAAAGGAGCGGAGAAAATTTCTCTCCCCCAGTAACTAGGCTTTGCTGTATTACAAACACCAAAACTTAGCGGTCCCTGCTTCTCTGGGTCAGCAGTTTGGGCCCGCTAGAAGGGCAGGCAGGCTCATGCCTGGCTGTGTGTCATCCGTCAGTCTGTCAGCAGCAGGCTTTAAGGAGGCTGGGCTGGGTAGCTCACTTCTGTTCCACGAGGTCTCAGCCTCCAACAGGCTTAGCCCGGGCCCCCTCATGTGGTGGTCTTGGGTTTCAAAAAAGCAATAATAGAGGACAGACGCCAATGTGCACGCTATGCTGGTGTCACATCAGCAAATGTCCCATTGGCCAAAGCATGTCACATAGTCAGATTCAGGAGGTGGGAAAAAAGATTCTCTGTCTTGATGGGAGGAGCTGAAAATAATTTATGGCTTTTTATTTACTTATTTATTTTAATAGACAGCACGAGAGATACTTGATCAAATAAGTTGACCACTGTGTACCCAAAACTGACCCTTCAGGCTGTGTGTCCCTGGACAAATTGCTTGGTGTCTCTGGGCCCCAGCCTGTTCCACTCCCCTCTGTGTGGCTAAGCCCCACCCCGCCTTTGAGGCTGGACCTGGAGACTCTGTAAGACTGGGCCAGCCCTCCCCTGCACCTCTGCAGCCTGAAGAACAGAGCCTAGATGTGGTTGGTCAGTCCTCTGGGATGCTTGTTTACAAGGCTGATCCCTGACCTCTCTTGACCTGTGAGTCAGACTGCGTGGGGTTGTGCATCTTAACAAGCCCCCTGGGTGATGCTACTGAGCATCCATTTGGAGAACCTCTGTATTTGGAGAAATCCTGACTCCTTGGGGAACTCAAGCTCATTTCAGCTCTTCTCTGAGCTTGTTAGACCCCAGCCCAGGTATAAAATGGGTATATAAGTTCCACCTGCTTGGGATGCCAGGAGGGACTCAGAGGTCTGAGAGGGCTCTCTCAGGGCTCAAATCTGAGCCACCATGACTGTTTTACTGGCTTTACCTCTCTCCTTAACTGGCTTTGGTTTTCTTCACAGCACTTAGCACCACCTGGCAGGACATTCTGTCTCTGTTGTTTGTGGGAGGTACAGAAGGCCAGGGGCTATGTTTTGTTCATAATGGTCTCCCCCACTCCTAGAACAGCGCCTGGCACACAGAGCTGCTCAGTTAAATGTTTATTGAATGACTAACTGAAAGCAGTGGCTATGCAGACCCTACATGGCTAGAACAAAGCAGGACACTTGTTAGGGATGGTTAATGTTTACTGAGGATACATCACGTGCCACGCATGGTTC